CTCGAAAACGCACCGCTGGGCCCTGGAGGTCTGGCGATCGTCCAGGACGCCATCCTCCTCCGACTTGGCGTCCTCGGCCTCGTTCACGCTCTTGACTGCCTTCTCGGGAGCTGCGAGTGCGGACGCGTGCCACTTGGCCCCTGCTGGAGCAGCCGCTGGTTTCTTGACAGGCTCGCCGCCCTTCACGGCCTTGATCACTTTTTTCGGCCCCATGTGGAAACAGCTTCGGTGGACAAATCCTCGGACCGATGGGAAACTCAGCAGCGAAGTCCGACGGTGGTTCGGAGCCGTCTGAGCCATAACAACACAATGCAACGGAGGGGGGGGGGGTGGGGAAGGGGTCTCAAGGACCCCTTGGGCAAGCCCGAGCTGGGCCGCAGGGGGCCAGAACGCTGTTGCAGGACGTAGCATAGCATAAGTTGGCTCGGCATAGCTTGGCATGGCTCATCATATCATAGCTTGGTATGTTAGCCTTTTCCTATACACCCCCATCTCGACGCTGAACCCTCAGCCGAATCAACCACCAGCAAAGCAGTTATAGGCGCTGGAATAACACATCATAGCATGAGACACATACGACTGCCGACCAAGTACCAACAACGATGCTGTAATGGCATAGCATATGACATCATATCGTATCGATGCTTGATTGTTTTTGTTTGTTTGTTTGTTTGGTTGTTTGTTTGGTTAGTTAGTTGGTTAGTTGTATTTTTGTTTGTTTGTTTGTTTGTTTAGTTGTTTGTTTGTTTGTTTGTAATGCTTGTTTGTCACAGCGCCATCATCCGTCGCAGCGGTGGGGCCTGACCATGCCCTCAGCCTCCTCAAACGCTCGGGCGCTCAGAGTCCAAGGGGCATCCAGACAGTCGAAGGCGAACGTTTTTTCAATAGCTACAATGAGAGGCGCTGCGCAAATTGCACGTCACACTGTGCACCGCACTGAAAGATGTCTGACATATTCATCTGCATGAGTACATCCCTGTACTTCAAAAGAATCACAACCAAGAGAAACTATGCGTAGTAGAGACCACTTCGTGACAATACATCTGCTGTGTGCGTGGCAATGCATATCTTGTGTGCGTGACAATACATATGTTGTGTGTGACGACTGGTGTGGTGGTCTCTACTTCATGCGATCACGCATGTCCAAACACTTCTGCTTGGTCATGGTGCCGCCATCGATGGCCGCGTGCATCTTGCGCATATCAGCGGCTAGAGAATCACCCCGAAGTCTCACCCTGGCTGACCAGATGCAGACGCGCCTCAAGGAGCCATCCGCCCGGCACCCCCGCGCCGTGAGCTCACAGCGGGGGTCGCTCTCAGCCGTGGGCCCAGCCATGCTCGGGCGGCACAGCAGGCCCGCGCGAGGGGGCACCGACGGGCTCTCATGGATAGTAGCCTTCATCTCGGTGTCCTTCTTCGCCACGGCCTTGGGCTTGGGCTTGGGCTTGGCCTTGGCCTTGCCCTTCGCCTTGCCCTTGCCCTTGCCCTTGCCCTTGCCCGAACTCCTGCCCGCGAGGGCCGTGGCTTTCCTCCGCTTGGGCTGCGGGTCCAGGACGTGGCCGTCGCTCTCCTGGCCGCCCTCGCCGTCGTCGTCACCCTGGTCGTCGCTCTCCTGGCCGTCCTGGCAGTCGGAGCCACCGACGAGAGGGAAGCCGTCCTCGCCGTGCACCGCGGTGCTCGGGATCGACGCCGCACTGCCACTTGAACGGATGCTGAGCTGCATCTGCGCCAGGATCGCGGTGGCATTCGTGAAAATCTTCGGGTAGCCGTCGGCGTCTAAGTCCGTGTCCTGGGGCAGGTCGAGCTTGGGGATATCGATCTCCGCGTGGTCACGATCGCTGCGTGGCGAAGGCAGCGGCGAAGGCAGCGGCGATTGAAGATCGGGCGTCGGTGAGCTATCTAACTCCATCTTATCTAGCAGGCCTTTGATGATGATGGTATCAGACGAGCCGCAAGCACGTCTGAACCCTCCGACCTTTGACCGTTTACCATTCTGTGGGCCCTGGCTGCACGATTCACGCTTCATCTCCCGAAGAACTGCAAGACAGCGTCGCACATGTTCTGTCACTTGGTGGAAATACACAGGCCCATTGATCTCCATCGGGAGGCTGGAGCTGCAACTTGATTTCAGACAAACTTCTAACTTGTTAGGATCAACCACTCCGTTTCTCACGCCTTTCTTGAAGAGACTCTCAAGCAGCGGGCACAACCGGACGACCATGTTTGGAGTAACCTGGTGCATGCCATTCGCAAGCTTCGGACCGAGGACATGATGAATCGAAACTCCTCGTGTAAATCCCACAAGCCCTCTGGGCGTAGGTGGTTTAGGGAGTTTCCTCTTCCACCCCTCCTTCTTCCCCTTCGGGTAGGGGCTTGCCCCTCCCCCTACTCCCTGGACGGGGGGCGCGGCGATGCGCTGGAGCGTCCAAGATGGCCCAAGACTGCTCCAAGAACGCCTGGGAGATCCCTAGATGACCTCCAAGATGGCTCAAGATGGGCCATCATGATGGCTCTGCAGATGCTCCAAGAGGCCCCAAGATCGCCCCAATACGGCTCCAAGAGGCTAAATAGCTCCCCAAGGAGTGCTTCAAGATGATAACATCCTTGGAAACCCTAAGGGAAACCAATGATGGTTGCCTTCTCTCCTTTTCGCTTCCGATGGCCTTCCGAGGCCCAAGATGGCTTCAAGAGGGCCCAAGATGGCCCCAAGAGGGGCCCAAGATGGCCCCAAGACGGCCCCAAGAGCGCCCAAGGCGCTACAAGAAGTCCCCAAGATGGGTCCAGGAGGCTATTTTGGGGGCTCCCGAGGGGCGGTGCTAACTAAGGAACATCCTTTCTTTGATCGATCGCCCCCAAGAGGCGCCCAGGAGGCCCCAAGAGGCGCCAAGATGGCCCCAAGAGGCCCCCCCCCCCGACGCACTCAAGACGCCCAAGAGCCCCCCAGGACCGCCAAGAGACCCCCCAGACGTCCCAAGATGCCTCCAAGAAACGCCCAAGAGATATCCCAAGATATCCCAAGAGATATCCCAAGAGGGGCTGGTGGGGATACGCGTAGCGTCTAGAATTCAGATATACACTCAATGAAATCTTGATCGGTGACGTTTGGGTTGGCAAGGGCACGCGGCCTCCTCCCTGCAGCAGCCATGGCTGCCTGGAACCAAAAAGAGCTAGCTATAGGATGTGACGCGTGGGATTGTTGGAACTTCACTGCTGTCAAGCGAGAGCAAGAGAGAGAGAGAGAGAGAGAGAAGATGACAGAGGGTGGATATTGGAAAGAGACCGAATCGCGCACACGTAATCCCTGTGCATCTAGATCAGTTCGCCACTACGGAGAGATCACCTACACACACATATATATATATATATATATATATATATATTCTCATACGCACCTCTCCGAGGGAGTAGCGCTCAGAGGGGATTAATGCGTCCGTGCGTGCGTCCGTCTTTGATTTTTCTGGCCGTTTCGCTCGGGACATCCTCGAAATTCTGAAAATCGGTGGCACCCCTCACGCAGATCGTGAAGGAGAGGTCCAACAACACATAGGAATTTCAACATTTTAACATAAAACCTTCAAACAACACATTATAATTTCAATAATTTTGACCCCGATTCTCAGAGAATGGCGGTTTCGCCTGAGACATCCTCCCAAAATCGAGCCCCAGACCCCTCCTCGGAGCCTCCTGGGGGCCTCCTGGAACCTCCTGGTGCCTCCTGGGGCTTTCTGGACCTTCTGGTACCCCAGACCCCGCCTCGGAGCCTCCTGGAGTTCTCCTGGGCCTGCTGAGGCCGCCTGGGGCCTCCTGGGGCCTCCTGGGGCTTCAGAACTACATGCACACACAGAGACACAAATCACGCCCAACACATCACACGCTAGACAAACATAACATACACACACACACCACCGACAACACACAAAAAGCACGCACCACACAAAGCACACATCACACACGCACACACACACACACATACACAACATTCACAATCCTGGGGCCTCCTGGAGCCTCTTCTGGTATCCAAGTCGGGCCTCCTGAGGCTTCCTGGGGGGCCCTGGTACACACATCGCAAGGTGTGGCAACCCCACTTGCGCTCGAGTGCGACTTCGCTGTTGCATGTCACTCCTGCTTCAAACGCCCCTTCAGCTTGTTGTATGAGCCTGGGCACACACGTGCCACTTGTATATATGTGTGTATATATATGTGTGTATATATGTATAGATGTATGTATGCACACGGATTGCAACCGCTCTTCCGAAGGGTCGTCTCCGAGGGGCCTCTGCGAGAGGCAATGGCAAGGGGTAGAAACACCGCGCGCCCCACGCCTGGAGCGCCATGTTTGTGAGTTCGTATCGTGGGTGCGACCGCTTAGGTGGTACCCTATGGGCGGGGTCCTATGGGCAAGGCCTCATGGGCGGAACCTTGTGGTTGGGATCATATGGGTGGAACCCTAAGGTTAGGGCCTTATGGGTGGGGCCCAAACGCGTTGGTAGATTTTTGGTAGATTTTTGGTAGATTTTTGGTAGATACGAAAATCTACCAAAAATCTACCAAACACACTATGTGCATTGCCCATAGCGCCAATAGCTTCTGCACTTAGATTTCCACTCGATTCTAAGGGGAATGCCCCTTATCTTTCCTTTTGTGCGCCCTCAGAAACATAACCTTAACTTTTCTTTAGATTTCTGAGGGCACCGGATGGTCAGGGGGGGGTTCGAACCGGTAGTGACCCCCCCCGGTTTTCCGGATCCGGAGGGGGGGGGGGGATGGGTTCGAACCGGTAGTGACCCCCCCCGGTTTTCGAGGGGGAGGGGGGGGGGGGAGGGGTTAGGGGAGGGGGGGGGTTTTGCCGGGGGAGGGGGGGGGGGGGGAGGGGGGGTTCCAGCGCGTTTCGCAGGGGGGGTGGGGGGGGCGACCCCCGGGTTCCGGAGGAAAAGGTTGGCAATTTTCCACAGTAAAGCGGCGGTGGATCACGCTCTCTCATACCTTTGGGTCCCGCACTCCTGCCCTTCGCTCACGAAGCTCAACCAATATTCGGTGCTGATGAGCAGCTCAAACACCTTTGTGTGGCTGCTTCTCCAGCGCATCGCCAGCACGCGAGACAGCGGCTCCCCCCAAGTGAAGATGTGCTTGACGCTCGGGACTGCCGTGGGCTCTATCGCCTCAAGAGCGGACGGAACTATTCCAAGGACAGTGGCGCTGCAACTGGTGATGGCGTCCGCATCTGCGCTGCTCGAGATGCACGTGGCGGCGCCGAAAGCGAGTGCGATGTCAATCTGCCCCATGGCACTCGCCGCCCATAGCACTGGCGTGTGCTGCAGCACGCGATCATCTGAGGTCAAAGCTTTGGCTACTCTGGGATACGCTCGAACTTCGTGGAGGGCCATCGTGTGGGAGACCTCCACGCACTTTGACCCACCTGTCGTGCCGCCCGTGAGCATGTAGCAAAGACTGGCACTCGGCACGACGCCCACCAGCGTTGGCGACCTGGCGGCCGCCAAGGACTCGGCCCCTCCCAGCAGACCCGCTGGCAGCCGCAGCAGCCGGGGCGGCGACGCCGCCGCCGTCCACTCGGGCACGACCTCCTCGGGCACGCCGGCGTCGTCCAGCAGGACGGCGACGGGGCTGAGGCGGGCCAAGATGTCCTGGTTCCGCGCAGCCTCCACGCGGCGGCTCCGGGCGGGGAGCTCCCCCGCGCCCATCCAGACGAAGGGGACGCCGCACCGCATCAGCCCGACGGTGGCCGCGAGCCACAGGGCAGAGCGGGGGGCCAGCAGCGCGGCGACCCCTGGCGGCGCTGCCTGGAGCTCGGCGAGGAGCCATGCGGCGATCGCCTCCGACGCGCGAAGCAGCTCACTCCACGTGAGGCTCGGGGCGCTGCCAGGGCCGCAGCGGCCCCTGACAGCCAGCGCGCATGGGAGCTCTCGGCCCCAGCGGTCGAAAGCATCCACGAGCGACGCGGGGGGATTCGGGGCCCAGGAGCCCAACCGCCATGCCACCCTCTCGTCCCCCTTCTCACCATCCCCCCCTGAGATGGGGAAACCAAAAGGTACCGATACCGCTGCTCCCCGGACCTCTCTCGGGGTGCGTTCTGAACAGGACTTCGAAACGAATCCAGCGCTGGCGACGAGGGCCTCCAAGCAGGCCGAACAAGGGGGAACAGGGCGAAGGGTAGCGGTATCGGTAAATGTTCCTCTTCTGATGGGAGGGAGGGGAGGCGAGGGTTAGGTCGGGCATGTCCTACTACAAGCGGATTTTGGAGGAAAAGTAACACATAGCCAAACAGTACTCAAGCATAGTCACAACATGATCGACAAATCGTCCCCTAACTATGTTTTGGCTATTCTTGAGTATTCCTGCTGAAGAGGAACAGGCCCGACTCAAAGGCGAGGGGGAAGGAGCAGCATTACGTCTGGTCCTGTGGGCCCCAGGATTGGCGCCCGCGGCTCCCCCGGCCATCCCGCACTGCGGCAGCGGCCGCTCCCCTCGGACCAGCCTGTGCGCCGCGCGCGCCCGCTGGAGCCGAGCTGATCACGTATGGAGTCACCCGTCCACCCGAGCTGTCGTCACACTCGGGTGCGGCGTCAAGCTGTGGCGACGAGGTCCCCCCCTCGAGGGCGACCACCAAGTCGATTCATCAAATACTAACTGTGACAGCAAGTGGAGGCTTCAACGGGAAAGCTCTCAGGCAGGTGGGGGGCCTGGTCGCCACGAGTTGGCAGCGAGAAACGGCAGTCCCACGCAGTCCCACGCCGCCGCCCCTGGAGGAGGAGGAGGAGGAGGAGGAGGAGGAGGAGGAGGAGGAGGAGGAGGAGGAAGAGGGTGGCATCCGCAGATTCTCTGGAAGCCCCCGGACGCTCTCAGAAAGCCCAGGGGAGGCTCATTCTGAGAAGCCCCAGGAGGCTTCTTCCTCCTCCTCCTCCTCCTCCTGCTCCCCCTCCCTCCCTCCCTCCATCCCTTCCTCTCTCCCTCCTCCTCTTCCCCCTGGGAAACCTTGGGAAGGAACTCCCTAGGCCCTAGAGAAGCACCTTGGACACCCTGAGATACACTAGGAACCCTCTGGAGCAAAACAACTGTAACGTTCGGAGGCACTTAGACTCATCAGCCAAGCTGGCCAGAGCTAAATTGATCGCTGGTCGATAGGGCCCGTGGCTGATATCGTCTGGGACAACTACCAACACCCTGACCACTCTCAGGCAAAGTTTGGGGATTCCGTGCTCACTCCAGGTTACCTGAACTACATGTTTGTGCCAGTGGAAGTCCGTCCACAAGCTTTTGAGGCTAACGCATTTGACCCCTCATGCGCGTACAGGGGCGTCCCAATGGCGGCGCTCTCCATACCAATGGGTGGTACGTGCCACGCGGCGAGGCGTCCCGAATAAAGGCGACATGCAACGCCAAGGAGGTGCGATGGGAGTGCGAGGGCGGGGGAGGTTCACGGCAGGACACTACTACCGCTGGTTTCGAGAGATCCACTGTGGTGGTTGAGATGCGAGAGGTAGCGTTGGTGCTGGAAGTGCCACGAACAGTGGAAGCGGTCGTTGTCACAGCGGATGTGATCGTGGTAGGGGTTTGGTCGGTTAGGACGCGTTGGAACAACGTGATAGGGTGGTAGTGGCGATGCTGATGGAAGTCTGCTGCATATGGAGAGAGAGAGAGAGGAAACAAAAGATGAACCAAATGATGGGCGAGGGTAAGCAAAAGGAGGAAACGGAGCAAGAAGACTTGGGGGACAATGCTGGCGTGTGCATGCGCAACGTATGCGCGCATCCATGCTCACCTCACACACATGCGCGCAGACCCTGACAGCGACTACGATCTCCCAGTCCTTCCTCGTGATCGCCTCACGCCAGGCAGGTAGGCTTCAGGGATGCTCCTCAACAGTGTCCTAGTCGCTGCTCGAGCGCAAACGGCAAGACATGAATCGTGGGCGCACGGTTGAGAAACCTGAAGACAGCTGGTGGTGTAGTGATGGAAGCGGAAATGACCGGAGAGCGCGCGTGCATGGGAAGGGCTCGGAGGAGGATGGGCATGAAGAGGAGGAGGAGGAGGACGAGGAGGAGAGGGAGGAGGAGAAGGGGAGGACGAGAAACGGGGTGAAAGTGGGGAGAGCATCAGGAATGGCGACCCCCACGAAGAGGAGCAAGAAGAGGATCACACTGGGGATCAGGGAAGCGGAGGGGAGCGACCGGGGGAAGGCCGAAGGCCCTCAGGCAAGGTCGGTGCGCCCGCGCCATATCCGGCATCCTACCCCTCCCACCCATCCTTTCCCACGGCAGTGTTTTTCTCTTCGTCCGCCGACGCCGTGTCAGACCCGCTTCCCCGATCCGTCGTCGGGGAACACCACCCCCCCTTCCTTTCCCCGATCCGTCGTCGGGGACCCCCCCCTCCCCCCTTTTCAAAAGGGGGGGGGGTCCGAACCCCCCCCTCTCTCCCCCCTTTTGGCCGCAGACTCCGGAACCCGACCCCCCCACCCCTACCCCTACCCCTCGGCCTCACCCGAACCCAAACCCCTAACCCAAACCCCTAACCCTAACCACAACTACTAACCCCAGCCCCGAAGCGTACTCACTACTCATTACTCACTACCCACTACTGACTACTCGCTATTCGCTACTCACTTCTCACTACCCCCTACTCACTACTCACGACTCACTAGTCACTATCCACTACTCACTACCCACCACCCACTACTCGTTACTCACTACTCCCTACTCACCACTCCTTCGTCCCTACTCACTCCTCACTTCTCACTACCCATTACTCGATATTCATTATTCACTAAGGACTACGCACTACTCACTACTCACTAACCACTACTCATTACCCACTATCCACTACTCACTACCCACTACTCATTGCCCACAAATCTCTACTCACTACCCCCTACTCGCTACTCGCTACTCCCTACTCCCTAGACAATACTGACTACACAGCACTCAGTACTCACTACGCGCTACTCCCAAACTCGCTACTCAATATCCACTACTCACTCCCCGCTACTCACTACTCACTACTCCCTACTCACTAGTCACTACATAGTCTCTAGTCACCAGTCACAGGTCACTAGTCACTAGTCACTACTCACTACCCACTACTCACTACTCACTAATCACTACTCACTACCCACTATCCGCTACCCACTTCTTGCTACTCACTGCTCACTACTTCCTACTCCCTACTCCCTACTCACTACTCGCTACTCCCTAGTCGTTAGTCACTAATCACTACCCACTACTCACTACTGACTACTCTCTACTCACTACTGACTACTCACTACGCCCTACTCGCTCCTCACTACTCACTAATCGCTACTCCCTACTCGCCACTCACTACACAGTACCCACTGCAACTACACACTACTCTCTACTCATCACTACTCACTACTCACTACGCACTACGTACTACTCAGTACTCAGTACTCACTACTCACTACTCACTATTTACTACTCGCTACTCTCTACTCTCTACTCACTACTCACTACTCACTACGCACTACGCACTACCCACTACTCACTACTCACTAATCACTACTCGCCACCCACTACTCACTACCCACTACTCACTACCCACTACTCATTACTCCCTACTCCCTACTCATTACTCACTACTCGCTACTCAATACTCACTACGCACTACTCGCCACCCACTACTCACTTATCAATACACACTACTCACTATTCACTACTCACTACTCCCCACTCCCTACTCCCTACTCGCCACTCACTACCCACTACTCACTACCCAGTACCCACTACTCACTTCGCACTAACTCACTACTCACCAGTCCGTACTCCCAACTCCGTGCTCCCTACACACCTTCTCTGGCGCAAGAAAGGGAAGCGAGAGAGGCCCCATCTCCCCGGTTCCCTTTCCGGCGCAAAGGGGGAAGAGGGGGGGAGGGGTCCGAACCTCTCCACCCCCCCTTTCCAGCGCCAAGGGGGGGAGGGGGGGGGGGGGGGGGTCCGGACCCCCCCCTTCAAGGGAGGGGGGACGGGGGGGGGGTCCGGACCCCGCCACCCCTTCAAGGGGGGGGGGGGGGGGGGTTCTGGACCTCCCCCCTCCTTTAGTGTATTGGCGCACTTTCCCAATCGTGCCATGCGCGATCGATGAGAAGGGAGTTGAGTGCACCGGAGGAGGTTGCGGATGAGCAGGAGGGTGAGCAGGAGGAGAAGGAGGATGCGGGAAGAGGAGGACGAGGAATAAGAGCCGCAGCAAAAGCTGGAGCGGATGGGGCGGGAGGGGCAGGAGGACCAGGGGGATGCGGAGGAGGGGGAATGATGGGGGCCACAGCAATGAAAGGATTCAGAGAAGTGGCCCGCGCTGGGGCAAGAGCACCACTCCGAACGACGGGAGCACAGCGCCGATCCGACAACGAGGCCCACGCTGCAGCAGCAGCACCATTTTGAGACACCAAAAGCAATCGGATTGTAAAACGCCATTGTGAATCTCAACTTTTAGAATGTGGTGCGTGCGTGTGTGTGTGTGTGTGTGTGTGTGTGTGAGTGCGTGCATGCGTGCGTGCGTGCGTGCGTGCGTGCGTGCGTGCGTGCGTGCGTGCGTGCGTGCGTGCGTGCGTGCGCGCGCGCGTACGCGCGCGCGCGTGCGTGTGTGCGTGTGCGTGTTGAGTGTGCGTGTGCTGTGTGCGTGTGCGTGTGCGTGTGCGTGTGCGTGTGTGCGTGTGCGTGTGCGTGTGCGTTGTGCGTGTGCGTGTGCGTGTGCGTGTGCGTGTGCGTGTGCGTGTGCGTGTGCGTGTGCGTGTGCGTGTGCGTGTGTGTGTGTGTGTGTGTGTGTGTGTGTGTGTGTGTGTGTGTGTGTGTGTGTGTGTGTGTGTGTGTGTGTGTTTCTCAAGGTTGTCTCAAGCGGCCCCCCTCCTTATGGGGCCCGCACTTCATGTTGGTAATCCCACCAGCCCTCTGGGCGTAGGTGGTTCCGGGAGTTTCCTCTTCCAACCTCCTTTTTCCCCTTCGGGGATGGGTTTACCCCTCCCCCTAACCCCCTCCCCTGGACCTGAACGAGGGGTTTCGCTGGTAGTTGGAGCGTCCAAAACGGCCTCGGCGAGGAAGCCAACATCATCGATTTTACTAAGGTTTTGGCCCATTTTACAAGCTCCCGAGGGGGGTGCTAATTGAGGGACCCCCTTCCTTTGATCGATCACCTCCAGGATGGCCCCAAGAGCGCTCCCAAGGCTCCCAAGAGCGCCCAAAGAGGGCCCCAAGAGGCGCCCAGGAGGCCCCAAGAGGTCCCCAAGAGGCCCTGAAGAGGCTCCCTAGACCCCCAAGAGGCCTCAAGAGGATCCCCGAGGCATCCAAGAATCCCCCAGGCGCTCCAAGATGACTCCAAAACAACTTCCAAGGGACATCCTAGGAGGCTCTTCTGCACGTCATTGTTTTTGTTCCTTCTTATCTTTCTCATCCTCCTCCTCCTCCTCCTCCTCCTCCTCCTCCTCCTTGTCGGCCTACTCCTCCTCCTTCTCCTCCACTTTATCAGCCTCATCCTCCTCCTCCTCCTTTCCTCTTCTCTTCCTCCCCCTCCTCATCCTCCTCCTCCTCCCCCTCCTCCTCATCATCCGCCTATTCCCCCTCCTCCCTCCTCCCTCCGCCCACTTTTCCCACCTGCTGCCCCTCCTCCCCCTCCTCCTCCTCATCCTCCTCCGACTCCTCCTCCATCCTCGCCCTCTTGGGTAAGACGGGTCCCCCAGCCCTTTGCTACTCTGAATGTCCCTCACTTCCCTGATCACCGCAATTCGCCTGAGCATCGTTTTTGGATGGGCTGGTGGGGATACTTTTTCTTACAGCCGCAGGCGGAAGCGCCGGCGGCAAGGGGTCACGGTCGGGCTGCGGCCGTGACGAATTACCCGGGCGCGCGCGGGGGCCGCGGATCAGACGGCGGTGCAAGCAGCAACCCAGGGCGTCTGAGAGCCAGGCTGGTGGGGATACGCGAAGCGTCAAGAATTAGGTTCCTCCGGCCTGAATCTGCCCTCCCTGTAGGGTCTCCGCCTCCATGAGGGAATCCAAGCGGGGCCATCCAAATCTTGTAACTGCGTCACTTGTTTCCAACCCTCCTGCGTTAGGTTCCCGTGTTGGATATAGCACTGTCGCCTCCACTGTCCTCCCCCCCCCCGCCTCCTGCCTCCTGCCCCCTACTTCCTGCATCCTGTCTCCTCTTCCTGATATCCCTCCTCCCTTCTATTCGTCGTCGCAGCCACGATGTGACTCTGGCTCTCTCGTCGGCTCCTGGGAGGGGGGACCTCGCTGTCACCTGGGGGGAGCTGCGAATTTGCGCCACTGTCGCCACTTTCGTGGGCTCCAGGAGGGCCCAACGAAGTGGAGTTGTAGGCACACCCAGTCGAGACCTCGCAGCTCCCTGGGGGGCTGCGAAGTGCGTAACCGTCGCCACGTTCGTGGGCTCCTGGGAGGCCTAGCGGATAGGATTTGTAAACACACCCAGCCGAGACCTCGCGGCCCCCTTGGGGGACTGCGAACTTCGCAACCGTCTCCACTTTTGCGGGCTCCTGCGGGTCCTTCAACATGTTCGTTAGTAGTGATCGGTCATGTGTACCGTCGCCACGTGTGTTGAGAGTTGGGTACTTCGCAAGGAAATTTGTCTCCAAGCTAGAACCTGGAGGACGCCTCGAGCGGGAGCCTCGTCAGTGAGTGAATCGCGAAGAAATCTCCAGCGGGAACCCTCGGAAAGCCTCCGAGTCACAGGAACTTTCAGAAGGCTTCAGGGAGCCACTGGAAGCTTCGGGAGGCTCGAGGCCCCAGAGCCACCACGAAGCCCCAGGAGGCCCCAGAGGTTCTCCAGGAGGCCACAAGAGGCCACGGGAGGTCACACCGGGCCCCAGGAGATCCTGGGAGGCCCCAGAAGGCTCCAGGAGGCCCTGGGAGTCTCCAGGTGGCAGCAGGAGGCCCCAGGAGGAGGCAGGATGCCCAAGGAGGAGGCCGAGACAGGGGAGAAGGAGGCCAGGCTCCATGAGCCCCTGGAGGCTCCAGGAGGCAACGGGAGGCCCCAGGAGGCCCCAGGAGGAGGCAGGAGTCTCAATGGGGATGTAGGAGGAGGCCAGAGGAAGAGGCAGGAGGAGGAGGCGGAGGAGGAGGAGGAGAAAGCACGAGGAGGAGGAGGAGGAGGAGGACAAGGAGGAAAACGGGGAGGAGGAGGAGGAGAAGATGGGGAAGGAGGATGAGGAGGTGGTGGAAAAGCAGGAGGAGGAGCAGGAGGAGGAGAAGGAGGAGAAGGAGGAGGAGCAGGGGAGGAGAAGGAGGAGCGGAGAGGAATAGGAGGAGGAGGAGGAGGAGGAGGAGGAAGAGGACGAGGAGGACCGCAGGACGAGAAGGAGGATGAGGAGGAGGAGGAAAGCGAAAGGAGGAGGAGGAGGAGAAGGAGGATGAAGAGGAGGAGGAGGAGGAGGATGAGGAGGAGGAGGAGAAGGATGAGGAGGAGGAGTAGGAGGAGGAGGAGGCAGGAGGGTGTAGCAGGAGAGAGATGGATGGGCAGGGTGAGGAAGAGGGCCCCAAGAGGTCCTGGAGGCCCAGGAAGGCTCCAGGACGTCCCGGGAAGCTCCAGGATGCAGGAGGCTCAAGAGGAGGCAGGAGGCCCAGGAGGAAGAGAAGGAGGAGGAGGAGGAGGAGGAGGAGGAGGAGGAGGAGAAGGAGGGGAGGAGGAGGAGGAGGAGGAGGAGGAGGAGGAGGAGGAGGAGGAGAAGGATGAGGAGGGAGGAGGCAGGAGGAGGACGAGGAGGAGGAGGAGGAGGAGGAGGAAAGGATGACTAGGACGAGGACGAGGACGGCAAGGACGAGGACGACAAGGACGAGGACGAGGAGGAGGAAGAGGAGGATGAAATGGAAGAAATGGGGGAGGAGCAGCAACAGCAGCAGCAGCAGGCAAGAGGAGGCAGGAGGCAGGAAGAAGCATGGGGAGGATGAGGAGGAAACAGACAGATGCGGAGGCAAGATGGTGAGGCAAGAGGAGGAGGAGGAGGAGGAGGAGGAGGAGGAGACAGGAGGGTGTAGGAGGAGGGGGCAAGAGAAGATCCTCAGGCGAGCTAAAAAGAATGTCATGTGAAGCCATCCCAGATGGTGTCTCGATGGCCTGTTGGAGCTCTGCGCAGATGGCCAGAGGGTCCAGGCTCGTTTGGGCCTGTGAGTGCGCCCCGATGCAGAGAGGGACCAGGACCACGCGCGAAATGAGGAAGACTGAACGGGAGGTGGCAGAGTGCCTCCCGCGAGTGCCTGCGAGCTTCACCTATGCAAGCGCATCCGAGGAACGCCCGCGCGCAAAGAGGGCGATGCGGAGTGATGCAGACAGGCGGGGAGCATAGCGTGGGACAAGCATGTCGCTGCAATTTCGCACTCCTCCTCCTCCTCCTCCTGCTGCTGCTCCTCCTCCTCGTCCTCCTCCTCCTCCTCCTCTTCCCAGGCTGGCAAACATGCGGCGCAGAAGCTTTGCAGGCAAGCGACCCTTGTCCTCGTCCACCTCGTTCTGCTTCTCCTCCTCTTCGCTCGACTAGGAATGGCCATCGGCAAGGAAACTGGTTGCCGCATGGGGGCTGGCGGCTGGCAGGGGCACCCTTGCTGGAACCTCGGCACGTCCCTGAACGTGGCGGCGAGGGTGTAGTCCAGCGAGCACTAGAGGAGGCCGATGGGGGCGGAGACAGGAGCGGAGGCGGAGGAGATAGTGATCCTCCAGCTAGTCCAAGGGCGTCTCGGCAGCACGAGGTGGCGGGGAGGGCGGAGCGGAGGAGGAAGAGGAGCAGCAGCAAGCGGAGGAGAACGACCACATGGAGGATGAGAGGGGGGATCCATCGGAGGAGACAAAGGAGGAGGAGGAGGAGGAGAAGGAGGAGAAGGAGGCAGGCAGCGATGAAAGAAGTGTCAGGGTCACTGACACCCCCCAGCACCCTCAGACGAGGAAGGAGTGGCGATCGCAGCAGGCGAACACCGTGTGGGGGGAGGTGGGGAGGGACGGCGGTCCTGCAACGCAATGCGGCGAGACCCCCTACCG